GAAATGTAATCACAGAAAGAACTAGTCTCGGAGGAAAACAAACAAAAATAATAAATTACCAAGTTAAAATAAAGGTAGTGACAGGAAGAAATGCTTGAAAGAGCACAGGAACTCTCCGCACTCAAACCAAAAAAATTATGTGATTCTTCAGAATAATACGATGTGGACCCGGATTTCAAAAAAAACATGAAGATTCACAACAAAGGGTTTTAACCTTACCACATATAAATTAGAAAGTAATAAATAATTTTTCTACAATTCTATAGTTTTCTTTTTTTAATCTGCTTTTTCTCCAAACTTCTAACACGAGCATCGATTTACAATAGCCAACCCAACCTGGCAGCCTCCCGAGGCTCATTCTCAGTATGCAGAGCATCGTGGAAAAACAGATAGGGTTGGGTTTTCTAGCCGTTACCTTCTGGCAAATAGCCTTGAAGCGCCTTTTCTCCGAGGTACTTCTTCAAATGCATTCTTACTTCAACAACTTCACCAGCTCCGATCTTTTCCACGGTTTCATCGGCAAGTGGCACGGTCATTTCGATACGAGCCTTACCGCCTTTCCCAAATGCACCGACCACTCGGCCGATTTCGCCAGTGCTCAGGGTTACCGGCATGTGTTCAAATAGACTGATCTTGGTTTCTTTCTTGAAAAGTGAGTTGCATACGATGCTTCGCACGTTTTCTACTCTCTCTGCTCGGCCAATTCGTAACCGCCGAACAAAACGCCGAACTTTTGGTTCCTTGAGAAACTCCTCGAAATGACCATGGAAAAGGAAACGACATCCACGTCCCTGATGATCCAATTTCGAGGCAATGTAGAAAGTGTTAGGACGGGTATAAACCGAACGATCGAAGGTCATCCAGCAAATACATGGCTCTTCGAGCGATGTCAATTGCTCATATTCACCACCGTCTGGTCGCAAGAATTGACATTCGGCCATGACCGTATCGAAACCCGTGGAGATGTGCGCCTTCATGCCTGACGAGACGTTGCCACGATAGAAAGTCACCGCTTTCACAGAAGCTATGCATGATTTCACCTCTGTCAGCGCTCCTGGGGAGCAGACTGAAAATTGCAGCTCAAACTAACTCAAACTATGCGATAACTAAAAAAACACACTCATTGTACGAGAGATGGAGTCCGAGTTGAGCTGCTGAACCAATATCGCCGCACGTTCACCTGCTGTCACCTGAATCAGTACGAGCTCAGAAAACTCTAGAGTAAGATGGTTCTGTCTACAAACTTAGACATCCGCATGTCCGCCTCAATGAAAAAATCCAAACTGAAATTTCGAAAGACCAGAAAGTCTAGGTTACTAGGAAGTGTTTGTTCAGCAGTACTATGAGAGAAGGTGATTAGTTCCCTAATTGTGAGTGAAAACACATTAAAAAACAATGTGAACCTTCTCAACAGGCTGCTTCCACGACTCGAGTCCTTTCACTTTTTTCTTCTCCTTTAGTGCAGGTATTTCTATTTCTTGGTCAATTCTAAACCAGAAAATCAGGCTTTTTTTTNTTTTTTTTGAGATTCACTTCGCTGTAAGCCAATAGATATGGAACTTTCACAATAGAGCGATGCTTAACTACCTACTTTATACATCCTTCGATTACTGTGCCAGTCATAACAGTTCCTTTACCAGTGACAGGGAAGCAGTGATCCACAGCGACAACAAGGCTGTAAACACAATGACTCAACTAAATTGTACAACCACCGGTAGACAGACCTGACGGATTTTGCAGTTGTTTGCCTTCGACAGCCATGGTTCTTTACCTTGTAAACCGATTAATTTCGGGGAACGAAGCGAATTTATTCTTACTACTTTTCATCTCACACACTGTTTCCCCTTCCTGATCACGCCTCTTTGCGTTTAAATTTGGAATGGGTGCACACGAGGGGATTAGAGCACTGATATTATGTGATAGCATTTGGTGGCAGATGATTGGAATCGATAAGAAGTTTAGAAAGCGACAAAAACAGGATCCATCACGCTCTTAGCGTTGACAATGGAACTCTAGCACTTTAGTAGAACATGGGAAATGTAGGGAAACCAAAGTGTTTGATGACAGGCACTGATAAGCTGTAGGTAGAAATAGAAGGCATGAGCCACTGAGCCCGTTAGGTCCTTCGTAGTTGGATGGACTCCCCTTCGAAAAATTTCCGGTCGGAAATAAAGGATTTGTTTCGGAAAGAAGAATGGAGAGTCCGACTTCGTAGCAGAAAGACGGGAATGAGACTGGTTTCTAATAGAGATGAAACAGGCTGACAACCGAAGCACAGCCCACAGCCTAAGGCATGGGTGTTTATGCAGCTCACAAATGGATCATGACGGATACGTGATAATATGGTCTGATTTCCACTGGCAGAAGCTCAGTGAGGACTATTCTGTATAGAAAAGCCCTACTACTCGGTGAGTTGAATCTTTGATGATTGCCCACGAGAAAACCTTTGAGCTATGGGCTTCAATAGTGCTTACGCCCATTTTCAGATTGAATGTTACGCTGACCATGTCAGCCAATGTTCACCACGCCTCAAAATCCAGATCGGTGAGTCCTCACGGCTCAATTAAAATGGAAAGGCATAACTAATTCTAATTCAGAGGTTGCATCAGAAGAGCGCAAGTCACTCGCCACTAAAGAGCTCGAAGTAAGTGCAAAAACCATAGCATTTGGAAAAATTTCGCACATTCGATCATCAAACTTCACAGTGCAAGAACCTATGTAACTATGTGATTTCGTTTCAGCGAAGCACAGAAGCGTTCAAAATCCAGCAGTGGCCACCATAAGAACAGCTCAGACGACAGCTCGAATGAAGTAGATCAAGCGTGATATCATAGTGATATACTTACCCAATCAGCCCCTAATGAGTACTGTCGTCTAATAGTAAGGCAGAACCTCTTTTTTGGGTAGTTATTGCGAGTTGAAAGAAGATTGATGAAGGTACGTGGTGATGAAGAAGAGCGAACGTAGTCACGAATATTTCACTCTCAATGCCTTTCTAATAACCGAAGAAACGTAACGAAAAATCACGGCCCATTGGAGGCTGGCATCCTAGGATGTGCTAGGATGACCGCCGCGGTCAAAACCTACCTTTCGCGGCGACCTCTTTTGGTGCACGATGACCCCAATGGTGCTTCCTGACATACACTACAAATGAAAGATCATGTAGCTTCGCAACGATCACCGCCCCGAATCGTAGAAGCGTTTGAATGCATGTGAGGGTGGAATGTACAACGACTTGTATCTTCACACTCCCGCACGAGTCTGATACGGAATGACGACTTTGGGAATGAAGTGTTAGCTGTGAAGTACTAAACCAGTTCATGTTATCGGTGATCGCAGGTGTGGTTACAACGGCAAGCGACATTACCAACTCCGACTCTCTTAGACAATTTTACTTAT